ACCTTGAAGGTGTCCTTCGGCCTCTTGAAGCAGATGGGCAGGTCGCCCAAGAGCTCCTGGCGCATGTTGGCCCGCTCGCGCGGGTCGATCATCCTGGCGGTCCCGTTGAAGCGTTTGCGGGGCGTTCTCGTGGTGCAACTGGCGCTGGGTCTTGGCCCCGCGCTGTTTCTCGGTGTCAGGTTGTCGCCGGGTTGCCACTTCTTACCGGGCTTGCTCCCCCGCGATCTTGGCCCACTCCTGGGCCGCGGCCGATCCCGAGCTGTTGGGCTCGTTGTCGTTCTGGCTGTCGTCTTGCTCTGGCATCGTGGGCTCCGCGGCGGCAGGGGCGGCGGGCGCTGCAGGCGGCGGCTCCGCAGGCGGCGAGGCGGCTGCTCCGCCGCGTCTCTCTCCCGAGGGCGCTTGTAGCGGGCCGCCGCTGCTGCTGGCGCTGCCGCTGCCGCTGGTAGTGAACTCAGTGTCGCGCTGCTTGTGTCTCGGCCATTCGGCGAATGCGCGTGCCTTGCGATTCGCGGTTGCGTCTTCAATATTGCCGGAATGATGCGTCGGCGGGGTTTGTTGTCGAGGCGGCGCCGGCGGGGCCTGAGGTTGCTGAGGCGCGGCGTCGGCGCGGGGTCGCTTCAGCGAAGAGGCGCTGGTGAGGTCGAGGAAAGTGTCCTCACCTGTGTCGGGAGGTGCTGGTCCACCTCCTCTGCCTCCTGGCCCAGACGGTGGTCCGCCGCCGCCGCCTCCCCCTCTTCCTCCAGGATCTGGAGGTGGCGGCGGTTGCGCCCCTCGCGGCCCTTTGGGGGGCGAGCCTCGCGGTGGCCCGGGCGGCCGATTGCCCTGGCGGCGCAAGCTCCGAAGCCGCGGCGCGGCGTAGGTGTCCGCGGCTGACCTTCGCGGTCGCGGAGCGGCGGCTGACCCAGACGCTGGCGGTGCCTTCGAAACTGATGGTGACGCCGGGTCCGTGCCACTGCAAAGCGCGCTCGCGCGTGGGCTTGTCGGTGTCTCTTCAGTGGCGCACCTGGTCGCCCGCCCGGTAAACGTCGGTGGCGCGTCGGGTTCCTTCTGCCCAGGGCCGGGCCGGCAGCGCCCTTGGAAGGGATTGGTTCAACCGAGGCTGCTGGGTGGAGGTCTGGGCGGTCTTCGCGATGGCAACTCGGGGCGCCGCCTGTCAGACGCGACGCGCTCGCGCCAGGAAAGTCTGCCGGCGTTGCCCAGCAAGACGCAGCGCGGTTGAAGTTCTTGCCCTGGTACCCGCTGAGAGGGCGAGTAGCCAGAAGCGTCGATCTGGCGATTCGTGGCCCCAGCACGCATGTGCGAGAAGCCACTGAATGCGATAGGCTGTCTTGGGCTGGTCGAGCCCGATGCTGAACTGGTCGATCCGCTTCCTGGCGTGGACCTTCCACGGGCGCCCGCGTCGCTCCACGGTGGCGTTCTGCTACGGCGCGGCCGCGGCGGTCGTCGTCGGGCGGCGGCCCGTGTCCTCGAGCTCCTCGGGGAGCTCTCGCTCGAGCTCGCCCCCCATCGGAAATGCCGCGACGAGGCGCGCCAGAAGGTTCAGGAGGGGAAAAAACACAGACGCAATTAATCGTCGCTGCCCCAGAAAAATGTTGGAACACATGAGAAGTGGGGGGGGGGGGGCAGAAGCCAGAAAATATGGAAATATATGGGGAATCCTTTTATTTGTGTGTATTTATTTGTGTGTCCCAGGGCCCCTTCAAATGTGCAATCCTGATCTGCAGCAGTCGCGCTAAAACAGCCGAGGGGCCCCTCGAGGCAACGGCGCTGCGCGCGGTCAAACCTGAGGCCAGGTCGACCGCGTTCAGGAAGATCAGGCGATTGCCGGCGTAGTCGGCGAAGGCGAGGAGGTCCACCCTGATGGAGTCATTGAAGTCGCGATCCAGCTTGATTCTGCCAGGTAGATGCTGCAGTGGTCGCTGATGTGCGGCGCAGACCTCGCAATTGAGGTTGAGAGCCATCTCGACCGCTCTCTGCGATCCGCCTACGTGACTCGGATAGCCCGGGCTAGCGAGTCGTTGGACGGACGCTAAGTGTTCACGTGGAGCTGCACCACTGCGGATCGGAGCGTTCGCTCCTCCGCTGTTGCAGCGCTGGCTCCTGAGGAGCTGCCTGCGCTGGGATCGCCGCCCTCGCCCTCCAGGTCGGGCGCGCCTCTCATGGAGGTCGGTTTGGTCGTCGCATCTGGGTGGCCAAGACCTTCGCGAGCTCAGGCGTGCAATTATCGCTGTTCTTGGCGCCCTGACCGCGCGCCTCAGCACGAGTCCGCGACTTGTCGCGGAGCCTCCTCAGCGCGTCGTCGAACCCGTAGTCGGTGATGATCCTCCAAGGTTTCTTGATATGGGTCCCTTTCTTCGTCTTGAGGTCGAACGCGCAGCCGTCGAAGTTGAGGGCTCGCGGCAGCTGTTCCTTCAGCTTCTACGCTTCAGCGGAACCATTGATTTCTGCCTCTCGGGGTCCTCTTGGGAAGGTTCTTGGGGCGTCTCGAAGGCGTCTGGTGGCGTCTTGGAGCCATCGCAAAAGTCTCGGGCCAATTGTTCAGCAATTCGGGGCCGTGCTGGAACGTGTCTGAGGCCAGAGAGGGTCGATTTGTAAGCTCCGGAGTCTCCGGTGCGCAAACGTGCCCAGATGCCCCACTGTTTTAAGTGGGGACTTTTGGACCCTGGGGGAGGGGGGAGGGGGGCCGCCAATCATGTCACGTGCTTTCTCACCCCCGGCAAACGGGGGCCGGCGGATTTGCGCGGCAGCAGTTCGCCCCCCCCCCCCCCCCGCCCTTCCGCGGGGCCGACAAGGCGTGCAAGTGAGTCATGACTTGCGTGCCCAGATTTTCTCCGGGCCTGGCCACGTCCCCCCCTGCGCGCAAGTAGATTTGCCAGGGTGTAAATTATTCCGACGGTACGACCCCACATGAGAATATGTTTAACTTGCCTGGGGAGCTCCTCCTGCCCCCTCCCTTCTCCCACTTACTCCTGCCTCATCCTTCTCCTCCTGCCTGATTATGCCTCTGCCTCTGCCTCCTCCTCCTCCTCCTCCTCCTTCTCCTCCTCCTCCTCCTTTTGCCTCCTCCACCACCTCCTCCTCCTTTTCCTCCTCGTTATGCCTCCTCCCCCCATTACCCCTGTTCCTCCTGCCTCCTGCGTCCTCCTCCTTCTGCTTTCCCTCTCCCTCCTCCTCCTCTTCCTCCTCCACCTCTTTCTCCTCCCCTCTCCCGCCTCCTCCTCTCCCTCTCCCTCCTCCGCCTACTCCTCCTCGTCTCCATTTTCCTCCCCCTCCTCCTCTCCCTCCTCCTCCCGCCTCCTCCTTAGGCCTCCTGCCTCTTCCTGTGGCCTCCTGGTGGCCTCCTGGTGGCCTCCTGGAGCCTTCTGGGCCTCCCGGGACATCCTGGGGCCTCCTAAGGTACTCCTATTCCTCGTCTTCTTCGTCCTTTTCGCCCTCTGCCTCCTCCTCCTCCTCCTCCTCCTCCTCCTCCTCCTCCTTCTCCTCTTTCTCGTCCTGCATCATCCTTCCTCCTTCGTCCTCCTCCTCCTCCTCCTCCTCCTCCTCCTCCTCCTCCTCCTCGTGCGGGACACCACCCAGACGAAACGCACGACGTGCGTCCCAAGAGATACGCGCCGGAGGACGACCCTGAGGAAACGCGCGCTGGAGGACGTCCCAGAGGACGGACGACCCGGAGGAAACACGGGAGGTATGGGCCCCATTGGGAGGGAATTCCCGCCTGAGATTTCCTCGCGATTCACTCACAAACGAGCTGCCCGCCTTATCCTTCCCCCATATTCAAGCCCCAGGAGCCCCAAAACGACGACAGTTATAGTATTCCTATGACCCGCTTCGGATAAAAAACGCGGGCCACGGCCCTCCAAAGGAGGGGGGTCCCGCCTGAGACTTTTTCCCAATTCAGGCACAGACGAGGTTATCGCTTGATATATCCTCCGTATCCAGGGTTCAGGAGTCCAAAGGTGACGACACTTACACGGATGAGGAAGGCACGATCGGATTGACAACGTGAAGTGCGGGCCCCATAAGGACGGGGGTCCCACCTGAGTTTCCCTCAAACACATGATCTGCGGGCCCCACAAGGAGGGGGCTCCCGCCAGAGACTTCCTCGCATTTCACTCAGAGACGAAATTCCCGCCCGATACTTCTCCCAGTTTCAAATTTCAGGAGCCCAGAAGTGACGACAGTTACACGGATGAGGATGACCCGTTCGGATTACCAACGTGAGCTGCGTGCCCCATAGGGAGGGGGCTCCTGCCTGAGCTTACCCAAGTCACTCACAGACGAGGCTCCCGCCTGATATTTCCTCCATATTCAGGCCTGAGGAGTTCCCGCGCGGGGTGCCCAGAGAAAATGATGCTGAGTGATGAGAGAGGGTGCGTGTGATGTGCGATTGAGTATGGCGATGATGGTGGTGGTGCTGATGCGGATGACGATGATGATCGATGGCCGATGGTGATGGTGTTCGATGGTGACTGGCTGGGTGTGATGATGATGGTGGTGATGATGATGACCGATGGTGATGATGACCGATGACGGGGTGAAAGCGTGAGTGAGGCGGACAGTGGGAAAGAGATGAGGTTCCTATGCGGAGGGTGTCCAGACAAAAACAAGAGCCCCATTTTGGATGTGGGGAAATTTATACAGCCTCCAGGAGGCCCCGACCCTTTTCCTGGGTGCGGTCTCTCTTGCTCCTTGCTCCTGGGTGCAGTCTCTCTTGCGCTGGGTCCGCTTCTGATGGCCCAGATGCCTGAAGACGCCCCCCCAGGGCCGAAATCCAGGAAAAACGCCAGGCAACAAAAACACACATCGCCGAATGTTTTGGCGGAGGTGGGTTTCGGACCCGAGTTTGCTCCTCTAGGCGCCATTCGGGACGATCGGGGAACCGCTCTCGGCGATGCGCAGCTGCTGGGCAGCACCCTGAGGCTGGAAACCTTTTGGCAGCATGCAAAAAGGCCCGAGGCCTCCGACGAAAACCACATCGTCGGAGATGTGGGTCGGCCCAGGACCCCCTGCAGCTGGACGTCAGCGGCCACGGCCTCGGGCAGCCGCCAGCAAGCGCGGCGCCGCCCTCGCCGGCGCGGCGGGACCCGGAGGGCTGCAGCGCGCGCGGCGCGGCTGGGAGCCCGCGGGGCGTCCCGCGGAGCCTCGACGAGACGCGATTGCCAGTGGCGCTCGGAGCCTCTTGCGGAAGGGGGAGGAGAGGGAAGACAAGCGACCAGGAGGGGTCAGGAGGAGGAGGAGGAGGAGGAGGAGGAGGAGGAGGAGGAGGGCGAGGACGACGAGGACGGGGGGGAGGAGGGTCGAGGTCGAGGACGAGGACGAGACGAGACGAGGACGAGGACGAGGACGAATCGAGGACGAGGACGAGGATGAGGACGAGGATGAGGACGAGGACGAGGAGGACGAGGAGGAGGAGGAGGAAGCAGGATGAGGAAGAGGAGGAGGAAGAGGAGGAGGAGAGGAGGAGGAGGAGCAGGATGAGGCAGAGGAGGAGGAGGAGGAAGAGGAGGACGAGGAGGACGAGGAGGACGAGGAGGACGCGGAGGACGAGGAGCACCACGAGGTGCAGAGGAGGGCGAGGAGGACGAGGAGGACGAGGAAGAGGAAGAGGTGGAGGAGGAGGAAGGAGGAGGAGGAGGAGAGGAGGAGGAGGAGGAGGAGGAGGAGGAGGAGGAGGAGGGAGGAGGAGGGAGGAGGAGGGAGGAGGAGGAGGAGGAGGAGGAGGAGGAGGAGGAGGAGGAGGGAGGAGGAGGAGGAGGAGGAGGAGGAGGAGGAGGAGGAGGAGGAGGAGGAGGAGGAGGAGGAGGAGGAGGAGAGGAGGAGGAGGAGGAGGAGGAGGAGGAGGAGGAGGAGGAGGGGAGGAGGAGGAGGAGGAGGAGGAGGAGGAGGAGGAGGGGAGGAGGAGGAGGAGGAGGAGGAGGAGAGATGACGAGCACGAGCACGAGGACGAGGATGAGGATGAGGACGAGGACGAGGACGAGGAGGAGGATGCGGAGGAGGAGGTAGAGGAGGAGGAGGAGGAGGAGGAGGAGGAGGAGGAGGAGGCGGAGGAGGCGGAGGAGGAGGAGGACGGGGAGGAGGTGGAGGAGGAGGAGGAGGAGGATGAGGAGGATGGCCGTCTGGCTCGGTGCCGTCGCTTACAGGCAGATTATTTTCAGTATTTGGGTTACGAGTGCATGTTGCTTGGTTTTCCGATTACTGTTGTACGTCAAGCTTGGGTCACCCTGAAGCTGCATGACGGGGCGCACGCAAGCGGCAGCCGAGCACTGGCTTTGATTGAACGTTGTTGTGCGAAGGGCCTTGTTCCATTCAGTGCCGTTGTGCAGGAGACACTCTCAGGAAGGGCCCCGTGGAGCTCGGAAGATGGAGTGCTGGCGCAAGCGATCTCAGAACGAGCACGTTCCGCGTTTGTTGAAGTGGCGCCGCCCAAAGCGTGGTCTGGTATGCAGTTGCTCCCGTTCCAGGGGCTGGTGTTATGCCGCCCACCCTGAATACTGTTTAGCCTTGTGCCGCAACTGTGTCTGGCCCAAGCCTTTTTTCTTTCTGCCGAGACGTCATGACAGCAGGCATTGTTCAAATCCGCGGGTCTCGAAGTGCTGGGCAGTAGAGCGTCATATCATATATGAGAAACTCTGATGACGTCCGCGTTCTTCTTGAAAACAGTCTTCACGTTTGTGTGCGCAGGCAGTGGTGGCAGGAGGTTCCACAGAGAGCAGGAGGATGAGGAGGACGAGGAGGATGAGGAGGATGAGGAGGAGGGAAATATAGATGATAAGTGCAGACCCAATCCTCATCAACGATGTTGCAATAAGCCCTTCCTCAAGTTCCCTTCTCATAGGCCCTCTCAAGATTTGATATGCTCACCGAAAGAAATGCCCCGCTGGAAGACAACAGTTTGAACATCCTTAACCGTGCCAGAGCACCGTTCCTGGCACGTCAGTTCCGCGAATCAACGTTGCGGTTGCGTCCTTGCCAGAACACCATTCTTGGGATTTTAATCAGTAACAGTTGCGCATTGATGTTTCTACATCCTGCGAAAGCACCATCTCTGGTGCGTGAAACATGGGCATGTTCGAAACTGTTGTACACTTTCAAGACTGTGCGCGGCGCGCAGGCGAGAGCCACATCTTGAAAAGGAGTCGCCCTCCAGCCGTGAAGCTCTCTTCCAAATGTTTGCAGCGAGCGTGCGCTGCGCCACGGCGAGAGCCACATTTTTAGGGGGCCACATGCGAACCCTACCCCTACCCCCCACGATTTCTGAGGGGGAGGGTGGGGTTCACTTGGCTCGGGAGCTCCCGAACGAAGTGAACCCCACCCCACCCCTCAGAAATCGTGGGGGGTAGGGGTAGGGTTCGCATGTGGCCCCCTAATTTTGAACACCACCCGCCCTCAGTCCGCGAAGCCCTTGCGATTCTGTGCAGTGACTGTGCGCGGTGCCAGGGCGAGAGCCACGGCTCGAAGGCGGGCCGCCTCCGATCCGTGAACCGCTTCGAGTTTTTGTTTCACGGACTCAGGCGGCGCTAAGGCGAGAACCATGATTTGGAAGCGACCCGCCCTCCATCCGTGAAGCTACTGCAAATCTCAAGCTCAAGGCTCGTAAGTGGTGAGGAAGTCTCAGTCGAAACGCCGGCCCGCCTTTCTGGCACGGCAAGCCTCGGGGTGCGACAGGGAGGAATGGAGGAGGAGGAGGAGGAGGAGGAGGACGAGGACGATGAGGAGGAGGAGGAGGAGGAGGCGAGGCCAGGCCAGGCCAGGTGAGGCCAGGCCAGGCGAGGCCAGGCGAGGCGAGGCGAGGCGATACGAGGAGGAGGAGGAGGAGGAGGAGGAGGAGGAGGAGGAGGAGGAGGAGGAGGAGGGGAGAGGAGGAGACGCGGCTGCCCGTGGCGCGCGGGGGGCTCTGCGGGGGAGGAGGCTCGAACGCTCTTGCGTCGTGGACTTAACCGCAGTGGGAGGTTCTTGGCAGTTTACGGCGTCTGGGGGCCGTCGTTGGCCACGTTGTGAAGAAATCATGACGTCGGGGGTTTGGAGAGGAGGAGGAGGTCGCCCAGGAAGGCGGAGGGGGGAGGAGGAGGACGCCCAGGAGGAGGAGGGGGAGAAGAAGGAGGACCAGAGTGAACCCAACATGTATCAAACATGTTGCAATAAACCCTCCCGTCCCAAGCCCCCCCCCCCAGAAGTCCGTACAGGCTGTCCTTTCCACTTCAAGAAGCATTCCTTTGAGAGGCCAGCACCTCATGGGCCTGCCATTCCGGCGAGATGCGCGTTTTGAGCAGGAGCAAACAGCCTTACGTCCTTGCAGCGAGTACCAATGAGTGCGCAAATGTGTGCTATGATCATACAGATGGTGGCCAGCGATATCCGATGTCGTGCACAAGTTCTCAAGCGCTGAGGAAGTCTCGAGATAACCCTGTTTTGAAAAAGGAGCCGACGTCCATCCGTTCCGCTGTGCCATCTGTTCGACTTGTTTCTCTTTATGTTGAAAGGTGCCTCACGCGAGCGCCATCCCTTTGAGAAGGGTGTTAATCTCAACGTTTCAATGTACAGAAATCTCAGGCGAACGCCCAATTTGGAAAAGGAACCGCCCTCCACCCTTGAGGCTGCTGCAAAGTTTTAAGAAACAATGTGCGCGGCGTTCGAGCGAGAACCACCTATTGAAAACGGCCCGCCCTCCATCCCTGGAGCTGTTGAGAGCTTGGGCAAGGGGAGAGCCCCATTTTGCAGACGGCCTGCCAACTTCAAGCTGTAGTAGAACTCAAACCTCGGGATCAGATCCGGTGAGGACGTCTCAGGCGAGACGCCCGGCCCGCCCTGCCGACACGTCTGGGTGCACGACAGGTAGGAGTTGCTTGCAGAGAAAAAGGAATCGCGAGGATGGGGAACGCGGCGAGAGGCGGGGGACGAGGAGGAAATGGAGGCGGAAGAGTCGAGGCTTGGACTACGAGGTGGAGGAAGAGGAGGAGGAGGAGGAGGAGGAGCAGGAGGAGGATGAGGAGGAGAAGGCGAAGGAAAGGGAGGAGGGAGGAGGGAGGGAGGAGGAGGAGGAGAAGGAGAAGGCGGAGAAAGAGGAGGAGGGAGGAGGAGGAGGAGGGATGATGAGGAGGAGGAGGAGGGCGGAAGAGGAGGAAGAGGAGGAGGAGCAGAAGGAGGAGGAAAAGGAAGATGATGATGATGATGATGATGAGGAGGAGGAGGAGGAGGGAGAAGGAGGAGGACGGAAGAGGAAGGAGGAAGGAGGAGGAGGAGGAGGAGGAGTAAGGAGGAGGAGGGAGGAGGAGGAGAGAGGAGGAGGAGGAAAGAGCAACGGCAAGGAGGAGGCGCCGCCAAGGAGTCGAGGGGCAGCCGGCGTTGCCGGACAGCCGCCGGCGCTCCGAGGACGGGCCGCCGTCGGGCAGGCCGCGCGCGGAGGACGGCGCGGTGGCCGCTGCCAAGGAGCTTCATCTTCCTCCCCCTTCTCCTCCTCCTCCTCCTCGCACTCCTCCTCCTCCTCCTCCTCCTCCTCCTTCTCGTCCTCCTCCTCCTCCTTCTCGTCCTCCTCGTCCTCGTCCTTGCACTCCTACTCCTCGCCTCCTCCTCCTATCCCTTCTCCTCCCCGCCTCCTCCTCCACCTCCTCCTCCTCCTCCTCGTCCTCCTCCACTTCCTCGCCTCCCAGTCCTCCTCCTCCTCCTCCTCCTCCTCGTCCTCTTCCTGACACCGCGCACATCGTATCATACGAGGTGCGCGGTGTCTCAGAGACATATCTGCCATACGAGTCTGTATGGCAGATATGCGATCGTGTGTGGTTGGAACTGTGCACGAGCGTCTCATCGCAGCGTGTTCAGACTCATGTCACACCCCATGCGCGCAAGGCCGAGTCCTATCCTGTCCGACTCTCGCACCGACTGGAAAGGGTTACCCAACCTGGATGATCGGCAAGGGCATGTTGCGAAAGTCGTAGCTGAGGCCGAGAAGGCAAGGCGTTCAGGCCCTGGGCCCGAAGTTCCCTCTTCGGTGTAAGGCTCCGTTTTCCTTCAGTTACGTAGTGAACATACATTATCATGACCATCCTCATTCTTATTCTAATTTTCCTCATCATCGGCCTTCTCATCCTCCTCCTCGCCCTCCTCCTCCTCCTCCTCGCCTCTCATTCGTCGTCTCCCTGCTGCTTCTCGCCCTCCTTGTCCCGCCCCCTCTTCTCCTCCGCCTCCTCTTCCATGAGGAGGAGGAGGAGGAGAGCAGGAGGACAAGGAGGGCGAGGAGGAGGAGGGCGAGGAGGAGCAGGACGTCGACTGCTCGCGGCGGCTGGGAGGGGCTCCTCCTTCGCCTCCTCCTCGTCCCCTCGACTCCTCGCGGTGGCCCGTGGTCGTCGACGACGACGATGTCGCTTGTTTTTCGTCGAGATGGTTTGGAGGCCTTGTGAAGTTTCGAAGCTTGTGCCTTGGAGGATTTGGAGTTGTCGAAGACTAAGGTGCCGTCGTTGTCGCCGTTGTCGGTCGTTGTCGCCTCCGTAGACGTCGTCTTTTCTACTGCTGGTATATTTTCTCTGTAGGTGTCGAAGGTTCGGGTCCCGGGGCATATTCCGTCAGCGGTGCTTCGTCGCTTGAAGCCCGAGCAATGGTCCGACGTCGTCGTCGTCGTCGTCATCGTCGTCATCTCTTCCATTTTTCTCTCCGCCTTTCTGCTCCCTCCTCATACTCAGCCTTCCTTCTTCTCCCTCCCTCCTCCTCCCCCCTCCCCTGCCTTTCCTCCAGGTCCACAGGACAAATGCACTCGTTTCGCATGGCATTGCTTCTTCCTGACAAGATGCTTCTGATATCAGAAAGTGCCGATGAATCGGAGAGCCACTGCGGACGGTCTGGAAGCCAAGTCGGCGCTCGAGACATGCAGATTTCAAGCAGTCGTTCGCTCCTTTAGAAGGTTCCAGGAGGACTTTGTAAAGCTGGCCACTGGCAGGCAGAAGTCGCACGAGCTGTCCAAAGACAAGTTCTCCCGCGAGCAGGCGTTGTCAAGCGCATACACAAACGCCATGATGCTGAGGAGCCTTCTCTGCACCATCGGAGACAAAGTTATGTTTTTGACCAGTGGCTTCAGGTTCGCACCCAGTAAAGGCCTGTTGACTCAATTGCTTGCCTTGGTGGGCGCCATCGTGTTTATGCTCATGAGCACACGATCCAGTACATATCAGAGGATACCTCAAAGTTTAATGCTGGCGGGAATTCAATTGGTGGCAGCTCTGCGAGGTTTGGCAACCTATTCAACCAGGTATTGTGCCAGAGAATGCCGCATGCCACAGAGCGGCAATTTGCTAAGACTGTTTCTGAGCAAGGCTATGCTATATCAGACCGACCAGGTGGGGGGACTGAGCAAAGATCCGACACCTTGTTGATTTGGAGAGTCTTTACTTGTGAACAAGCTGTTGAAGGTGGTGGACGCACTGCAGTCTGCAGGGGCGTATGGAGCTGTCCATGCAGGAGTCGAGGATGATTTCAGGGTGCCTAGAATTCCGCCAGCTTTTTGGAGTGCCAGGACGTTTCTGCCTGACATGCACAGCAAGATACCACATTTATAGCATCGTTGCCTTTCACTTCCGAGCTCATTTTACATGTGCTCCGCGGCCTCGGATGTTACAGAGCCCGAGGACGTATCGATACTGACCCGGCGGGCGTCATCTGGCCATGATACTAACATGTTTGACTTATGTTGGCATTCCGTGCACGGGGTGAGTATCTATCTGATTTAGAGGTATCTGCGGCGAGTTGCCGTGGCTGTTTTCTATCGGTGTAGGGGGCTGCACAAACACGTCGACTCAGCCCCCAACTGAGGGATGGGAGAAGGGGGGGAATGAAGGGGAGGGGAATGCTGCTGCTCCTCCTCCCTGCTCCTGCCCGTCCCTGCTCCTCTTGCTCGTCTGTGCCTCCCTACATCCTCCGCAGGCCCATCGCAGGGGCTTTTTGAAATGCCCCCCATGATCAGAGGCCAGCAACATATGTACACGTACGCGGTTAGTTTCCCCTGGAGTGCTTGTTCACGCGGACGTTCGTGCAGGCAAGACCGCGGAGGGCGTACATGTACATATGTCGTTGCTCGCCCACATGAGGCCGAAGTGCCCCCCCCCCAGCGCAGACGTGGCGGCGGCGACGGCGGCGCCCAGCTCCGGCGGCGAGCGGCGAGCGCCGGCGAGCGGCGAGGATGCCGGCGCCGAGCCCTTCTCCGCCGGCCAGCGCACGCGGCCGCCGAACCTCTCTGCCGGCCGGTGCCCAGCGGGCGCCAAGCTGCCAGGGCTCGGCGGAGTGCGCCACCCGTACTCCATCGAGCCGTGACAGAACTCACGACGGAGGGTTTCGTATCATTTTTTGCCTCTGGGGGGCCTCGCCGGGCCCCAGGGCCAGTCAAGAACAACTCGGGAGGAAAATCCGGCCCCGGGGAGCGGATCGAGACCTCTGCGGGTCGAGGCTGTGAAGCAATCGTGGTGTCGGGGGTCTGGGGAGTGACCCGTCGCCGGAGTGGCCCATTTGGTCCAACGGAGCATGTGGGGGGCCGACGTCTGCCGCAGCGCAGGGCACCGTAAGCATTTTCGCCCCAATGTAAGCCTGCTCCCCGTCCTCTTCTTCCCTCCCTCCTCTCCCTGCCGCCCTCCCTTTTTCCGTAACCATTTTGTCTCATGGTTTTTTGTTTCCCCCGTGAAACAGGTGGTTACCGCTAGTCCGCGTCCAGTTGCTTATCAGTCGCCTGGTCCGGCCCAGGCAAAGTGTTGTGTGGTCCGCCCCCCCCCCCACACAGCACAGCGAATCACCACGATTAGGCTGCGCGCTGGTCGTTGGTGGCGTGTCTTCGCGCTCTGTTCGGGAAGATGGGGATTTCCAAGGCACGCCGCGCAGCAACGGAGGCATGGTATTGCAAGTGGCGCAAGCATGAGCCGACAGGAACGGAGTGGATCAATCGGGCTGATCGCACGTGGTGTGGTAAGTGCGGGATCCCCAAGGGTTTGGCATTCAAAGGCACACCGCCGCCCAACGACCCCGTTGCAAGGCCCAGTGAGACGTCAACGAAGCGGGATACTTTACTCATGAAGCAGTTGGCTGACACTGCAGCAACAAATGCAACGTTTGGTCGTTAGGTTTGCAAGTGTGCGTGAGTCTACGAGCATCACCCCTTGGATTAAGGCGCCCGAGGCAGTCTCGAAGCGGGATCGTATTGCGAATGTCCGTGGCATTATCACGATGCTTGGCCCTGATGATGAGGCACTGCGTGAACAATACGAGGCAGCATGTAAGCGTTTGCGCGCCGAGTTGCAAGCAAAGAAGCCAATCAAGACAAACGTACAAGGACTCACCAGTCATCTCAAGGCGGCGCGCACCGAGCGTGTCAATCTGGCGGTCAAGAAGGTGCCAGCTCGTGAAGCGGTCGTGAAGGCCCAGGCTACTTTCGAGCTGGCCCAAGCTATTCTCGAGGCTGCCAAGCACGTTCCCGATTTCGAAGAGCGTATGCGTGATGTTGTTGTCCTGCAGTGAGCTTAGAGATAGGCAAAGCGCGTCTCGCCACGTTCATTCCTGGGCTCGAGGCAACGGTTGAGCAGTTCGGAGCAGGTATTCACGCCCTCGGTGGCACGGACAAATTCAGTTTGGATCTGTTGGCTGCGCATAGCGTGGTGCAGAATCTGGGGGAAGCTCTTGAGGCGGTCCCACAGCGCCAACAGCAGCCGAGCGCTGCTAAATACGGAGCCCAATGTAGGTCGACGAGGATGAAGCAGCTACACCTTATGTTTTTTGTCCAGTGTGTTACCTAACAGATTTTGCTGATAGGTTTCTAGTGGGATCAGAAGAGAGCATCTTGACGCCCCAGGGGGTTTTGGGCGGGATCCGGACAAGGAGCCGGACAAAAGTGCAGCCCCAGGAATCCTTAGGAATCCTTAGGAATTCTTGAGAATCCTAGGAATCCATTCTCAGAACACCATTCCCAGGCCACATGTTAAATGCCCGGAGCCAGCTGTAGGCCACTTGTGTTCTTCGTGTTCCCAGAACTTCATTCCCAGGCCACATTCTGAATGCCCGGAGCCAACTGTAGGCCACTTCGTGTTCTTCGTGTTCCCAGAACACCATTCCCAGGCCACATTTTGAATGCCCAGAGCCAGCTGTAGGCCACTTCGTGTTCTTCGTCTTCCCAGAACACCATTCCCAGGCCACATTTTAATGCCCGGAGCCAACTGTAGGCCACTTCGTGTTCTTCGTGTTCCCGGAACACCACTCCCAGGCCACATTTTGAATGCCCGGAACCAACTGTAGGCCACGTCGTGTTTTTCGTGTTCCCGGAACACCATTCCTGTACCATATTTTGACTGCCTTGAGCCAATTGTGGGCCACTTTGTGATCTTCGTGTTCCCAGAACACCAGTCCTGTGCTATATTTTGAATGCCCGAGCTGAGGCAGGCTGAGGCCGAGGCAGGCTGAGGACGAGGCAGGCTGAGGCTGAGACTGAGGCACGCCGAGGCAGGGTGAGGCTGACGCTGAGGCTGACGCTGAGGCTGAGGCAGGCTGAGGCTGAGGCAGGCTGAGGCTGAGGCAGGCTGAGGCTGAGGCCGAGGCCGGCTCAGGGGGCCGAGGCAGGCTGAGGCTGAGGCAGGGTGAGACTGAGGCTGAGGCAGGCTGAGGCGGAGGCTGAGGCTGATGCAGGCTGAGGCTGAGAGGCTGACGCTGAGGCAGAGGCAGGCTGAGGCTGAGGCTGGGGCCGAGGCAGGCTGAGGCTGAGGCTGAGGCAAGCCGAGGCAGGCTGAGGCTGAGGCTGAAGATGAGGCTGAGGCAGTGGCTGAGGCTGAGGCAGTGGCTGAGGCTGAGGCAAGCTGCGGCTGAGGCAGGCTGAGGCTGAGGCTGAGGCTGACGCAGGCTGAGGCTGATGCAGGCTGAGGCTGATGCAGGCTGAGACTGGGGCTGAGGCTGAGGCAGGCTGAGGCTGAGGCTGAGGCTGCGGCTGATGCAGGCTGAGGCTGAGAGGCTGACGCTGAGGCTGACGCTGAGGCAGGCTGAGGCTGAGGCTGAGGCAGGCTGAGGCTGAGGCTGAGGCAAGCCGAGGCAGGCTGAGGCTGAGGCTGAAGCTGAGGCAGGCTGAGGCTGTGGCTGAGGCTGATGCTGAGGCAGGCTGAGGCTGAGACAGGCTGAGGCTGAGGCTGAGGCAGGCTGAGGCTGAGGCAGGCTGAGGCTGAGGCTGAGGCAGGCTGAGGCTGAGGCTGAGGCCGAGGCAGGCTGAGGCCGAGGCTAAGGCAAGCCGAGGCAGGCTGAGGCTGAGGCTGATGCTGAGGCAGGCTGAGGCTGAGACAGGCTGAGGCTGAGGCTGAGGCAGGCTGAGGCAGGCTGAGGCTGAGGCCGAGGCAGGCGAATCCTTCGGAACCCCTACGATTCTTCAGGAATCCTTAGGAATCCTTAGGAATCCCTAGGAATCAGGATTCGTAGGGGTTCCTAAGGTTTCCTAAGGATTCCTATGGATACCTGAGGATGCCTTAGGATGCCTCAGGACTCCCCAGGAATCCTTAGGGTTCCATTGGGTCCTAAGACCGTTGCCACTGCGACTGCCATTGCGACTGCGACTGCGGCTGCGAGAACAGCAGAATTTTACAATTGGATACTCACCTGAATCTTCATGATTCTTCACAATGCTTTTACACATCGCTGTTAGGTTGCTTCGCCATGATATTTTTTGTCGCGCGGAACCTTCGGGCCAAGGCCCCTCGCCGAATGAATGAGTGCTGCTTTGAAAATTTTGCATACGGGAAATTATGCGGCCGCCTCTGCCAACTCTAATCGCGCCAATATCACGTTTCGCTTGGCGGGGAAAGTGGGGCAGCTTTCCATCGAGAGGAATATTGTCGATGGCTGGGCAAAATGCCGTGCAACTTGGCTGCGCTAAGTGCTTCCCTTGGGGGGCTGTTCGGGTCTGTTCGGTTTCTCCTGCGTCTCCTCGGCAATTCTCCAGCTGGGCCTGGAGAGCGCCCCGGAAGACCAAGCGCCGGACTCTGCGTGACATCCCCGACGCGAGAAACGAGCGCGCTCATTGATGCGGGCGCGCGGGCCATTCAAATGCTGCGTTTTCGCTGCCGGGCAATTTCTGGCTACGCCAGTGCCGAACAAATAAGGGCCGATGTTTTGTTTTCGCCCTCGGGGGCAAAACGCCCAGTTCCCCCGCCGCGCAAAGACGCCCAAATGAAACTGTCAGTTGCAGGGCACGTTGGCGCGGCGCCTCCGCCGCCCGCGCAGCTTCGCTTCGCCCGCGCGCGCGACGCGAGCCCAAAACCGAAGCCAATTCCTTGACCGGGGGCTGTTCGTTCCATGTCGATCTGACCCCCCAACCTCTGATCACCGTCAGGGCGCTTGTCGGCGATGTCTCGATCCAGCTCGTCTCGTCTTCGCCAAATGGCGCTCGGTTTCTGGGCGCGCTGTCGAGGCGTTCGCTGAGGATGCCGGGGGGCTGGGCCTGTCCTGTCGACGCGGATGAAGAAGTCCGGGGCTATCGCGGGGAATGAGGTCGTTCGGAAGCACCGCTCGAAAGTTGCATTTCGGCGCAAGTTACCATTTCGAAGTTGGATGCAAACCCAGGGCGCGAGTTGGCCGATGGCGGAGTCATGCGCTATTAAGAAAATTCCAGGCGCCCAGGGATCATCGGCGCAAGTTCCTCGCGCGAAAGCGCGCGACGGGGAGGCGGGCGGCGAGTTCGCGGCGCGCGGGCGCCTGCCGTGCAGCTGGCCGCGGCGGCGCGGCGCCGGAGGCAGTTGGCGGCGGGCCGATCCGATGCGCGACCCGATCCATGACTCCACGTTGGGGGTGGTGGTCAATTATGCTACATGTATGAGATGGGCGCGCGCAGCTATCCCGAGCGCAACGAGCCTGGCCTATGCTGAAGGACATGCTATCCGACAGCCCTACTTGGCTGCAGGCGCGTCGCCCGCTGCCTGCGGTTTGGCTCAGTCTGTTACGGATTGGGCGGCCGATGGTGAATTGGGTGGGCGATGGTGAGTGCCCGCGCGCCGTGCAGCGACGACGGCGCCGTCGCCCCCATGCGCGCTCCTCGCCCCAGCGACGCGCGGCTCGGGGTCATCGAAGGAGTTCAAACACGCCAGCTGAGGAGACTGCAGTGCCACATGGTCTGCGCCGACCTTCCTGAAGGCAATCCTCGGCTAGGGCCCTCAGACATGGGGTTCGCGCGGCCGAAAATCGATCGGGGATTGGTGCTTCGGCGACGGCGTGGGCAAGCGCGGTGCCTATTCCTGCAGCTCTTGCTGAATTGCGCTGCAACGCGCTGCCGCAGCGCGGGGCTTGCCGCGAGCCCCGCGGGACCCGCGGCCGCGCGTGGCACTACTGCCTTAAGTTCATCAATAGCGACGGGGCCGACCCCCGCGGGGAGGAGGCCCCTGAGGCCCTGGCTAAGCATGGACGCATTCTGATGAAGCCCCGGCTGTCTGCACGTGGGGCCCCAGACGCGAAGTCCGAACGACGCGCGCGCGACGCCCCGCTTCTTCCCCCGACCCCCAGGCCCCCGCGGATCACCCGCTGGTTTTCGAGTGCGAGGGCACTCTCGGAAGCCGGGGGGGGGGAAGTTGTTCGTTGGCGGGAATTGCCGCCATTCCAGAATCCCCGAAATTGCTCGCGCTGGCTGGAGGGTTGCCCAACTTGTTGGTTGTCTGCGGCCTGCCAGGGCTGCCTGGGCGATCTACGGCCCGCTGCCGGGCGAGCGGCAGATTGTCAGCCGAGCTGAGCGTTGGGCAGCGCGCCCAGGAATGACCGGGCACCCATGGCACCGCTCGATCGTTTCTGATATCCAGGCGGCCCCCCGGCTTGCGCGCGGCACGGCTAAAATGCTGCTATTGTGGAGGTCCGCATTTGCCCCAGAGGTTAATCGGTTTCCTGTTCGCTTGAGTCTATGCGACGATTTGGAGCGCGGCCTGCGCGCCAAGGTCAGGGCTGGGAGTCCCCGGGCAGATTTGTTCGCCAGAATGGATGGCGCACGACTGTCGGAGGCGTTCTGTCCTGCTACCTCTGGTGAATTGAAGAATCGAAAGTTCATTATAAAATGTTTAGCCTGGGCTGCCCAGAGGTTGCGCGAGGCCAAGTCGCGGGCGGCCGTGGACCTCGATCGCCCCCTCCGCCTTCGGCGCCCCCCGCCCCCCTAAAGTCAGGGTCGCTGGCCGCTTTCTGTTTAGATGCGCGGGCACCTGCGTCGTCGAGCACAGGCCTCGCGGCCGCGCGGCCAGGGCGGCGGGGCCTCTCGATGGCATGCTGGCCAGTGAGGAGGCCGGGCGTAGACTCCGCCCTCCGATCCAACAATAGGCGCGTGACCTTTGGTCTCGGGATGTCGGTGCTTCCTCGGCGCCGGTTCAGGCCGAGGCGGCGAGGGTTGCTCTGGCTGGGGGCTGCGGGGGTCCAACGGCAGTCAGGCCCCGGCGTGGCCCGGGGCACGCTGGCTCCTCCGATCGCGCCAAATGCCGTTGGTGTTTTTCCGTATTTGTGAGCTGGGTCACGATGTCTTCAGTCATATGCACGGTTTCTGCTGTCGCCTGCGCGGTGCCCGTGATTCTTTCGGCGCAATGCGCCACCTCCCCCACGGATGCCGAGGCCCCAATGAGAACCCCAGCACGAGAGCGAATCAGCGCACGTTTGTCAGGCGTCTTGAGCGCGGATGTCACCCAAGAGCGGCGAGGGGATTTCTGGGGGCCCCGAGCGCGAAGATGAACGCGCGGTGCTCCGACGCATTTCCGCTGCGTCGACGCTGCTCAGCGGTGCCCGCGGACCCGAGGCCGCCCGCGACAACGCTAGCTCGGGCTCTGACTAACTTGTTTAGTCTTTCGGCCCCCCTTCGTCTGTCGCCCGTCGCGCCCCCCCCCGCGCCGCGTGCGCTTGCGCCTGCCCGATGCGCTCGGCGACGCGGAGGCTGGTGCATGCCGCGGCCGCGGGGGGCGCGGCCTGCCTCGCGCGCTGGCGCGCGGGCTCTTGTTCCTCTCAGCAGGACCACCAGCTCCAGGCTTGCCTCGTGCTGTTGGCGCCGCTTGGTCGTGGAAGGGAGATTGCGCGAACGCGAACCTCCAGAGCTCCGTTTCGTGGATCTGCGCTGGAGCCCTTCGGCGGCGCCCTCGGCGAGGTTCCGCGCGCTTGAGAGGGGGTTCGGCGCAGATTCAAGACATCCGCACGGACCCCCGACAGTGCATGTTACATGCAGTTTGTCTTTGGCCCCCTCCTCGGGTTGGGCCCCCCTGGCTTAGTAGGGGGGGCGGCGGTCGGAACAAGAGCGCACCCCCCGTCGGCATTCGGGGCGCGAGCCCTCGTCAGGGCGCGCAGGCTGCCGCAGCGCCGAACCTGACCTCCCTCCATCTCTCCTCCATACCCCCGCTTCCATCCATCCCCCCCTCGCCCTGCCTCCCCTTGTGTCGGCAGTTTATTGCAACGGCGTGGGAAATCGCGACCAGAACCTCAGGCCCCATCTTCCTGCTACAGTGCTCGGGTCGGATCGATCCGCGATGGCCCCAGGGCCGAGAGTCCACACGCCAGCGCCTTGCGCGAAAGAGCGACATCGCCCAGATTCCACGGTCTGATTCGAGGAGAAGCGCTGTGATGGAACAGCAAAAAACATATTGTCGTTGGGCCCAGACCCCCGCGTCGTGAGTTTGTCAACGTCAGCCCCACAGAGACGTCGATCCTTTCCGTAGACAGGCCGTTTCACCCCGAGCCGGTTTTGGGACGGTCCCGCGGCCCGGCGAGGGCCACCGCAGGCCGAACATAACAAAAACGACCGTCATGTTATTTTCGCGGCGCCATGGATCTCATCTCTTCTCCTGTTCCACCCCGAAAAACAATGGTTTTCCTCCTCGTTTTTCTCCTCCTCCTCCTCCTCCTCCTCCTCCTCCTTTTCCTCCTCCTCCTTCCCCTCCCCCTCTTCCCCCATTTTCCATCCTCCCTCCTCGTCCTCCTCCTCCTCCTCGTCCTCCTCCACGTCCTCCTCCTCGTCCTCCTCCTCCTCCCTCCTCCTCCTCGTTTCCTCCTCCTCCTCCTCCTCCTCCACCTCCTCCTCCTCCTCCGTCCTCCCTCCTCCTCCTCTCCTCCTCTCCTCCTCCCCCTCCCTCTCCTCCTCCTCCTCATCCTCCTCCTCCATCCTCCATCCTTTCTCTTCCCTCCTCCTCCTCTTCATCCTCATCTCATTCCTCATCCTCCTCATCCTCCTCCCTCCTCCTCCTCTCTCTCCTCATCCTCCCTCCTCCTCCTCCCTCCTCCCTCCTCCCTCTCCCTCCCTCCCTCCTCCCTCCTTCCTCTCCCTCCCTCCCTCCTCCCTCCTTCCTCCTTCGTCCCTCTTCCCTCCTCCCTCCTCCCTCCTTTTTGTTCCTTCCTCCTTCCTCCTTTCCCTTCCCCTCCTCAAGGGAATGCGCTCGCTCTCGCGGGCTCCCCCGGCCGAGGCGCGCGGGCGCCGACCGCAGCCGGGCGACCCGGGCTGCGGAGGCGCACAACGCTGCGGCCGAGAGGCGCGCCGCCCTCCGGGAGCGCGACAGGAGGCGCCATGCGACGGGTTTGCAGGCGACCGCGGGGCGCCGCAGCCCGTCGTCGACGGGTCGCCGCCGTGGTCGTCGTCGCCGCCGCCGTCGACGTCGTCGTCGTCGTCGTCGCCGCCGTCGTCGTCGTCGACGTCGTCGTCGTCGTCGACGTCGTCGTCGTCGTCTTTGGCGTCGCAGCCGCCGCCGCCGCCGTCGCCGCCGCCGTCGTCGTCGCCGTCGTCGTCGCCGTTGGCGGCGGCGTCGGCGTTGGTGTCGGCGTCGGCGTCGGCGTCGGCGTCGGCGTCGTCGTCGTCGTCGCCATAACCGTTTTCGCGAAAAGTTTTGGTTTCCCAGCGAAACGAAGTGGATACCGCCAGTCCGCGGCCAGCTTTCATCTCCTGCGTGCCGTCCGCCCGCCCTGCGCGCCTCCATCACCGCCGCGCAGTCCGCCCTGCGCGCGTACCCCGCCGCTGTGCGTGCTCCGCCAGGAGCAGGACCCGCGCTGCGCTTGCCCAAGCAACGTGCGGCATAGGTGCGGGTCCTGCGCGTACAAGCGGAATCGGAGTGGCCGCGGCATGTGCTACAAGTGCGGGAAGTCCCTCGAATTCCAGTCCATGCCGCCACGGATCCTCACAGGGGCTTGGGTTCCAACTCCGACTCCTGCGGCGGATGGGTGGCAGAGCTGGGACCACTTGCCCATATCCAAGGTTTAACGTCGCCGCCGTGGCCAATGGTCGGACCAACTTGACCAACCGCACACCGAGGTTGGAACCATGCTTGCAGTCCTCGATCAGAAATTCAGCAGGGACTACCGTGAAGCGCTGGCGCAGCCCAGGGAAAAGATCTTGCCAACCGAATCCGCTCACACCGAGACCTCCGACACAAAGTGCCAACGAGCGTTCGCGGCGGAGCGCAAGTTTGCGGCAGCCCCGGACAAGGTCGCCACATGTCGCCGCCTCCGAAGCCAAGGCGTGCTACTGGGCGGTCGCCTGCGAGTCGCGCACACTCACACTCACACTCACACTCACACACACACACACACTCACACTCACACTCACACACACCCACACCCACACTCACACTCTCACACACACACACTCACACTCACACTCACACTCACACTCGCACACACGCAGCCACACACACACACACGCACCCAGTCCTGTGCTGAGTGCTGAGGCTCTAGCAGCGGCCCGCGACGAGGTCCAGACCATGCTCGCCGCCATCAGTTCACTTCGGGGCCAGCCTGGTGGGGCGGTGGCTCCAGCAGCGGCGGGGGGGGGGGGCAACGACCTCGGCAAGTTGCTCGTGGGCGAAGAAGGCCTCGTCTTCGACGAGGGCAGACCTTCGACGCCACCACGCTCGAGCTCGACGGCAGCGAGATGAAGCAGTGGCCGACCTCGAGGCTTGCTCCATGGACGAACTCAGAGCTAAAGTCAAGGAGGTCTTCGGCTCGGGCGCCACAGTCATCCGGCAGAGGGCGACCGAGCTGGACGCAATGCGCAAGCGCTTCGCAGCCGAGCGCCACCGCGCCGCCGACCACGACCAGGACGGCACCCGGAACAAGGGGGTTGGCAACGAGGCACCTGGCGCTGATAGCGCTGGGGCTGCTGGCGGCACTCCCGCGGCTCGCGGCGCAACTGCATCGGGATCTTCGGGCCCAGGCGCGGCGCCAGGGCCCGCGGCGGCGGGGGCGGGGGAAGGGGGCAGGAGGATCGGTATCATCGACGCCGCATCCGGGTTTGCTGGAACACGGGCGGCGTGCTTCAAGGCAAGCCCATGGCTGGAGTGCTACGGGCAAGCCGCCGCATAGCGGTGGGTTTCTCGGTAGTGCCGATGTCTCTGTTCCCCTCTCCTCTCCCTCCTCTCGGCATTCTCTCTTCACTTAGGCGCCCCTCAGTCCAAATTGTCAATACCTTTTGTGTTTTCTAGGTCTTCACCTGAGCCTGGGGCATAGGTGTGCAAGTGTACAAGTGTGGAGGAGGAGAAAGCGGATGATGAGAGGAGGAGGGGGGGGAGCAAGAGGAGGAGGGGGCTGAGGAGGTGGTCAGGGGGAGGAGGAAGAGGAGGAAGAGGAGGGGGAGGACGAGGACGAGGACGAGGAGGACGAGGAGGACGAGGAGGAGGAGGAGGAGGAGGTGGAGGAGGAGGAAGAGAAACGGGAGGACTCCCGCCCCCCTCGCGAGGTGGAGGCGGTCGGGCTCCTCCAAGAGGGAGACGAGTCCGCGGGCTCCGCCGAGGCGGTTAGGCCTGTGGCCTGGGCCTCGGTGGGCGTCTTTGTGGTCGTTGTCGCACAGCAGGAGGAGGGGGAAGAGGAGGGAAGAAGACGAGGGGGACGAGGAGGAGGAGGAGGAGGATGAGGAGGAGGAGGGGGACGAGGAGGAGGAGTAGGAGGAGGAGGGGGAAGAAGACGAGAGGGAAGAGGAGGAGGAGGAGGAGGAGGAGGAGGAGGAGGAGGAGGAGGAGGAGGGAGGAGGACGAGGAGGAGGAGGAGGAAAGGGAAGACGCAGGAGGACGAGGATGAGGAGGAGGAGGAGGAGGAGGAGGAGGAAGAGGAGGAGGAGGAGGAGGGAAGAATTCGACGGAGGGGAGCGACACGTGGAGTGTGCGAGGGACACAGCGGCGGAGGGAGGTGGAAGAGGAGGGAAGGATAGAGGGAGGAGGGTTCCGAGGTCTTCACGCTGCGGGAAGGCGGGGAGGACATGCTTGGAGGAGGAGGGGATATGGGGACGGGGAGGAGCATGAGGAGGAGGGAGAAGAGCAGGAGGACTTTTTTTTGACATCAACGCTTCGCCCCCACAAGCCTGTCTTTGCAGGCACCATCACTGGCAACGGAGGGAGGTGCCAGAGACGCCGCATAGCTACAAGACACCTCGAAGACCAGCACGACGATGCCTGAAGCTAGAGCGGACCTATATACAGGGGGTGGCCGCTACCCTCCCCCACCGTGGCCGTTGATGATCGCGTCCGCCCGCGCCCGCAAGGCCCGCCTCCGCTCGTCGCCCACCGCGTCGAACACGAGGGTACCAGCAGACGCGGCACCGCCGGCCGCAGCCGGCCGAGGGCCGCACGCCACGGCAGCGGCCGCCGAGCCTCTAGCACCCGGAGCCAGCGTCGCCGCCGCCGCCACCACTGCCACGGGAGGGGCGCCCGCCTCCGCCGACTGCTGCGCCAGAGCGCGCCCGTCGGCTCCAGCAGCCGCACCCTCAACCACACGAGCAGGCGAAGCCACCGCCGACGCCGCCAGGCCACCGCCTGCTCTGCGAAGGCCGTCCGCCCACTCGTCGTCGATGTCGTCGTCAACCGCCATCGCCGCGGGCTCCAGAGCGCCCCCAGCGCCAACGGCCTCTCCAGCTCCATCGGCTCGATCTTGCTGCCTGCGCGCTGCGCGCGCACGGCGGCGACGCTGCCGCCGCGCCCGCTTCGCCGCACCAGCCACGGGAGGGCCTTCAGCAGGAAGATCTTGATCTCTCGGTGCACCGACTGGAGGGTCACGGGCGGCGGGCGGCGCAAGCGGCTCGAAGACTGCCGCCGACACCGCGGAGCGCGCCACCGCCGCGACCGTCCTCCTCGGCGCCTTCGCGGAGACCGCCCCGCGCACCGCCGCCTCGACCAGGGCAGCGGCCAGCGCGGGGGCGGAAGCCCCTCTCGCTCGACGCGCGGCGGCCATCGCGGGAGCAACGGCGGGCCTTCGCACCAAGCACGCGAACGCTTGAGCCAAAATGGCTACGGAGAAGAGCAGGAGGACGAGGAGGAGGAGGAGGGAGGAGGAGGAGGAGGAGGAGGAGGAGGAGGAGGAGGAGGAGGAGGAGGAGGAGGGAGGATGGAAGATGGGGGAGTAGGGGGAGGGGAAGGAGGAGCAGGATGACGAGGAGGAGGAGGAGGAGGGAGAAGGAGGAGGACGAGGATGCGCAGGAGGAGTCGAAGCAGGAGCAGAAGGGGGAGAACGAGGACAAGGGGGGCTATTCCGGCATGTTATCATGTTGAGGAGGGCGAGGCGGATAGGCATTCTTCTGGTGCTGATGATGGCGATGACGACGACGACGACGACGACGACGACGACGACGACGACGACGACGACGACGACGGCGGCGGCGGCGGCGGCGACGACGACGACGACGAGGAAGACGGTGACTACGACGATGGCGGCGGCGATTGTGACGATAACGGCGGCGACGACGAGGACGAGGACCACGGCGGCGGTGGCGATGACGAAGACGATGATGACGATGATGACGATGATGATGGCGATGATGGCGATGATGATGATGATGATGATGATGATGATGATGATGATGATGATGATGATGATGATGATGATGATGATGATGATGATGATGATGCTGATGATGATGATGATGACGGTCATGGTGATGGTGATGGTGATGATGGTGATGGTGATGATGATGATGCTGTTGCTGATGCTGATGATGATGATGATGCTGATGCTGAGACTTGTCCTCAGAACGTGCAGGAGATGAATACACAGAGTCCGATACGTTTCGCTCAAGCCTTTTTCGCCTCAGGGAGCACCTGACACGTATGCGCCCTCCCGCTCTGCGGCTGCCATCGTGGACGCTGGTCTGCATCTGGTGTGCTCTGGACGCGTGGCAACCAGGCTTGCTGCGCGCGGGCGGCGGAGGCGGCCCGCCCGACGACTGGGACAGTCGGGCGGCCCTTGCTGCCCAGCGGGCTGCCGAGCGCGGGGCCCAGCTCGCCGCGGCGCGCGCGGCCAACCTCAGCCGGTGCCACGCCGCGCTGGACGAGGTGCAGGTCGTGCTGACCAACCTGTCCGCGGAGCTGGCCGAGCTCCGCACCCTGCAGACGACGCCGTCCGAGCTGCACGAGGAGCCCGACACGCTCCTGTGGCACGCGCTTGGGGTGGTGCTGACCGCGGCGTTGACACAGTGGCACGTGCCTCGCCGCCTTGCGTCGCCGCGATGGCCCTCCTGCCCGCGAATCTGAGCCTCTTCCTGAGCGACGGGACCGCCGCCGAGGCGGCGGAGTTCTTCAGTGAGCTGGTGCCAGGACGGGCTGTCAGCTTCTACTACGAGGACGACCCGAGCATATGGCACGAACGGTTGCTGCTGTGGCCGTATCCTGGCTCCTTTCCCAACACCTGCTGGAGCTGCCTCACGCCCGACGGCGACGTGTACCCCGAGGAGATGGCGGCAGGGCCCGATGGCGATGGGCCGAGCCGCGTCTCCCTCACGATCGGGGCGATTCCTGCTGCTGTTCGCCCACCAGGGCGAGTCTACAGATTTCGTGAATATCCTGCCGAGGACGACATGATCGACCTCTTTCGGGACGCTCGCCTGGCCGGCCGCAGCGCCGGCTTGCGCGAGCCCGAGCCGACGACCTTCATGCGCGACGGCGGCCGGCCCTCCAGGAGCATGACGGTCAGCTCAGGCTTCCTGCGCCGCACGCGGGGCAAGGGCCCGTCCGCTGCCGTGCCGCGCGGCCCACCTCCTGGCTTGCCTGTGGCCCCGCCCCCGCTGGACGCTGCGGGCGCTGAGCCAGGGGCGCTCGCCGACGGCGAGGTCGGGGGCACTCCGACCCCGAGGGGCGGCCCTGGCGCGGTCGTGCTCACGGACGAGCGGGCCGCGCCGCCTGGGTCTGCATGATTCGTGATGAAGACGATTCCAAACGAGTGCCAGCAGCTCGACGAGGCCGCCCCGAAGGCGGGCGACGTGGTCTGGGGGGAGAGTGGGCTCTACAGCACGACGGGCGGCTTCATCGTCCCGATCGAGCTCCACCCTGTCCCGCTGCCTGCCGAGGTGTCGGACAAGCTAGCTGACGACGACGCCCGCCTCCTCGGCCCTCTCCAGCGCACGCGGGAGGGCCGTAGGCACCGCGACTTTCGAGATGCAGTGTCGGCCATGAGGCAGGAGCAGCATGACGACTTCCCGCTCGTCGGCGAGCGCAGCTTCAAGTGGCTGCGCGACTACATCGTCGACCGCGGAGGCACACCTGATGGCCGCCACACCAAGTGGATGATGGAGAGCGGCTGCACCAAGGACTCGGCGGCTGCGCACATCCACGATCTGCTCGGCTTCGCCATCGAGATGGCCGTCACCTACGACCAGGTCGACGGCTCCAACCTCGCCAGCATGGAGGTGGTCTCACGGGCCTACCAGCTGATCGAGGAGACCATGGGGAGCATGAAGATCGAGGGCGTCGAGCACTACATCGGCCGCCAGAAGCAGAGCGCCCGCCGCGGCGTCGCGATGGCGCCGGGGGTCGCTAAGTACGCCACCGACCAGCTCGCCAAGGAGACGGAGATCCAGAAGCAGAGGCGCAAGGCGCGCGAGGAGAAGTCTGCCCAGTCGGGCAAGGAGGACAAGGGGTGACCTGGGGTCAGCGGTCGGGAGGTGGCTCGACCCGATCGCCGCATTTTGAGAGCCAGTTTTGCGGGCCTCCTGATGTCCAACCTCCTGGCGATGGCATGCTGCCCTTTGCTGTGTCTGCGTCGCCGATTTCCCCATCTCCCCCGCCTGGACTATCCCGTTCGGTTCGGGCTCGCCTTTCCCGCGCCCAGTTGATCGAGGAGCGTACTCGGGACACCGCGGAGTGCCTCAACTTGCTTGGGGGCTACGCCACACCGCGGGTCGCGCCAGAGCGCCTCTCACATCTAGATGTTTTGTTGCAACGACGTGTTCGAGGGCTGCATCGTGATATGGCTGCCCCTCCGAGCACGTCGGCCCAGGAAGCCTGCTCAGAGCTTTTGGGCCGCCCGTGTCTGCACTGCGACACGGCTAACGACTTGCCGCTGAGGCCCTACGCTCCGCACCTCGCGAGCTGGCCCGAGTTGGGAAACGAGCCTCAGTGGCTCGCGGATCGGCTGGGGACAAGCGAACGATGCTCTCTCTTGGACCTCGACCATGCTTTGCTGCTGCCGCCACCGAGCTTCGACGAGGCCGTGGAGACAGAGGGGGGGCCCACGTTGTACATGGACCCTGTGCTGGAGCGGAACAGGCCGCTCTACCTTGAATTCATCCAGTCGGGCATCTCGCGGGGCGTCTTCGTCTTAGGGAAAGAGAGGACCGAGGACGTCTCCGCCTTCTTCGTGGCTAAGAAGGACGAGCGGATCAGGATGGTGCTGGACTGCAGGCGTAGCAACCAGCGGTTTCAGCCTCCTCCGTCGGTCAGCCTGTTCTCTGCCGCGGGGTTCGCGGACCTCGAGGTGCCGAAGGACACGCCCCTCTACTACGCGGGGGTGGACGTCCAGAACGGGTTCTACCAGCACAAGCTGCCAGCCTACCTGCGGTCGTACTTCTGCTTGCCGAAGGTCGCCGCGGGCGAGCTTGGCATCAGCAGGCTTGACGGGCGGCGTGTCCCGCCCTGGGCCTGCCTTTGCCCACAACTTGCCGTCGTTCCCATCGGGTGGAGCTGGGCACTCTCCTTCGTTCAGAAGGCTCACGAGCGGACGCTGGACCAGCACGACGCCCTGAAGCCCGAGCTGCGGGCGGTCGACTTCGTGCCGGTCCCCAGCCCGCTCGAGGAGCCCATCCACTCGCTGTGCGTCGACAACGTGCTCGTGGTCGGCACCGACCGCGAGGCCGTGACCAGGGTCAGGCGTGAGGCCTCCAAGGCGCTGGAGGGCTCCGGCCTGGCCGTCCACGACGAGACCGACGCCGCTGAGAGCATGACCATGCTCGGCGGGCAGCTGCATGGATCGCCTGCCCGCGCCACCTCGGCGCCACGGAGGTTCTGGAAGCTGCGCATGGGGCTCGGCTACTTGGTTCAACGGCGCCCCCGCGTCACCAGCCGTGACATCGAGCACGTCATCGGCCACTGCACGTTCGCCGCGCTGTGTCGGCGTGAGAGCTTGAGCTGCTTCAGCGCCGTCTACTCGTTCGTCCAGCAGAATTACCAGCGCGCCAGGCCCCTCTGGGCGTCGGCACGGCGCGAGTTCAGGATCTTCCGCGGCTTGCTGATCACGCTCGTCTCGGACCTCGACGCCGAGTGGTCCACCAAGGTCGTCATGACTGACGCCTGCGAGACGGGCCACACCTCTGTCGAGGGCGAGTGGGACCTCTCCGAGGTGCAGAGTGCTGGTCGCTGGCACGAGCGGTGGCGGTTCCGCCACACGCGTGAGGCGGACGGGGGTTGGCGGCCGCGCGACCGCGCGGCACGTGCGGCCGAGGCCGCCGAGCTCGATGCACACCCGTCTGTTCTGTTGCGCCAGGGTCTCGCCAGCAAACGACTCCCTGAAGTGTCGAAGCACACCATCCGCCGCACCAGCTGGTCGACCACGCACTACTCGCCACTCTTCGGCAAGGAGCCCATGCGTCGTAAGGAGGCAAGGGGTGACTTACACGCCGTGAAGCTGATCCTGTCGGACGCGGACTCCTGGGAGAAGAGGCACGTCGTCTTGGGGGACAATCTAGCACTCTCACTTGCACTATCTAAAGGACGTTGTCGTGATATATTCCTGCTCAATATCTTGCGGCGAGGCGCCGCCTTGACTCTCGCCTCGGGGGCCCGCATGCATCGACGATGGGTGCCCAGCGAGTTCAATGCGGCCGACGGTGACAGCCGCTCCCGCGAGGGTGCTGCAGGGCGCGCTGCATCTGGGGCCAGCTGGCGCGCTGCCGCGGCGCGCGGGCGCCAACTTCGGCACCGCCGCAGCTCGGCGCGGGGCCCCGAGGGCGACAGTCGGCTCGACAGCGGCTGGCCCGCGGCCCCAGCGGCCCCGCCTGGACTCGAGCGCAGCCCCGCCACTGGCAGCCGCGCGCCCGCTGCGGCCCCGCAGCCTGGCGGCGCCGCCGTCGGCCAGGCGGCTGAAGCGCAGCGCGCCTGGGAGTGGCCCGACAGCGCAGGCCCCTCCGCAGCCCTCGGCGGCTCGGACGCCGGCGCGCCGCAGCTCGGGCCCCCTGGGCTCGCCTGCCTTGCGCCGCCGCGAGGCTCTGACTCGACGTCCGTCGGTGGTGCTGGCGGCCCCGCGCAGCATCCCCCTGCGGGAGCTGCCGCGCTCTGTGCAGCGCCGCCTGGACGCTGGGGAGCAGGCGCGGGACACCACCCGCCAGCTCTCCATCACCGAGGCTGCCGCGGTGGGACGGCGGAGCCGACTGCAGTACACGGGGCTGCTCGAGCTGTTCCTCAGGCGCAGCCGCCTGACGTCTCTGGCTGCGCCTGCTGCCGACACGGACGCCGCGGTGGTGAGGTTCTTCGACGGGCTGTACCTCGAGGGGAAGGTCGCGTCGACGGGCGAGAAGCTCCTCGCCGCGATCTTCATGCACGTGCCCGACTACCAGAGCAAGGGGGAGCTGGCCCTGCCGCGCGCCTACCGCGCGCTGCGAGGCTGGCGCCTGCTGCGGCCATCGCGGACGCGGCGCCCGCTGCCCTGGGCGGCTTGCATGGGCGTGGCGCGCCAGATCTGGAGGATCAGCGGCCGCCCCGCCCTCGCGGTGTTCTGGCTCCTGATGGTGGACACGTACCTGAGGCCTGGCGAGGCGTTCCGCCTGACCTGCGGCCAGGTGATCCCTCCGCAGGCGCACATTCCCAAGGTGACGATCCACATCAACCCCGACTACATGAAGAGGCCGAGCAAGACTGGCGAGGTGGACGAGACAGTGGACGCGGCACGTCCGTGGCTGGGCAACCTTCTGGCTCGGCTGGCCCAGGGCCCGCCCAGCGCCCCCCTGTGGACGTTCTCCATGACGGAGGCCAAGGACGTGTTCGAGCGCGCGACTCGCGCGCTGCACTTGGACAAGCTGCTGCCCGTGCTCTACACAGCCCGACGCAGCGGTGCGTCCATCGACCGCTGCACGGGGAGGATCTCGTTGCAGGAGGTCCAGCGGCGCGGCCGCTGGCGCCAGCCGAGCTCGGTCAGGCGCTACGAGAAGCGCGGGCTCATCCAGGCGGTGTGGAGCGAGATGGAACCCTCAGCCAAGGCATACTGCCTCCAGGCCGAGGCCGAGCTGCCCTCGCTGCTCGGCGTCGCCTCGCTATCCGCCAACGCTTGAGCGACCCCCGCGCCAAGAGACACGAGTATTTTTATGTAGAAATCTTCTCGGGCTCAGAACATGTCTCGAATTCGTTGCGCCGTCGTGGTTTCAGAGTGTACTCTTTTGATGTGCTGCAAGGGCCCCAAGGTGACCTCCTGAGGCCCGCTGTCATTAGGCGCATCTTGAGAATGATCAAGTCCGACAAGTGTCTCGGTGTGCTAGCTGGTGTGCCATGTAAGTCGTTCTCCATTGCCCGAGGAGGCCATAATGCAATCAGATCGTCGCAAGCTCCCTCTGGCATCCCCTCGCTCCCGCCTCATCTGCAATGCCTGGTAGACGAGGGCAACCAACTGTTTCAGGTGTCCTGTAAGATCTTTAAGTGCTGTAAACAGATGCGGGTTCCTTTTTTTGTGGGAGAATCCCCAGTCATCCTACATGTGGAAAATGGATGCTGCCGTTCAGATTTTTCGCTGGCCCGGGGTCCGCGACATTATAACTAACTATTGCGGTTGGGGCACGCCGCGGTGTAAACCCACTAGGCTGAGATGCTTCCTGCTGCCGAGAGCCGACGAATTGTGTAAGCGTTGTAAAGCTGTCCGTGGCATCTGCTCGTTCTCTGGAAAGAAACACCAGATTCTCCAGGGCCGAGACGGCCTGGGCATTCACTGGACCGCTCGCGCCGCAGCTTACCCTCACGTGCTTGCGAATCGAATGGCCGATGTGTTTCAAGATGCTGCATTCGATCGTGTCTTTCGGCAAACCATCCGCCTGCACCCCTTCCGCGTGCATGACCCCGAGCCGCACTGACGGCAGTGAACCGATAGCGACTTTTGGTGCCTCGAATGTCGGCACGGATCTGTAATGTGCGTTGTTGTGTGTGTGTGTGTGTCACGCCGGCGTGCTCCCAGAGTTGTGCTGTCTGCAAGGTCACCACATGCGGATGACATATATGAGAGTTCTGTGTAAAACGACGGGTGGGGCATTTCCGACTTGTCCTCAGAACGTGCAGGAGATGAATACACAGAGTCCGATACGTTTCGCTCAAGCCTCCCTCCCTGTCTGTACTGGTGCACGACCTACCCGCCCTAGCTTTTGGCGGGCCGCAAGCAATTGTCTTGGCTGCACGGATCTGTAATGTGCGTTGTTGTGTGTGTCACGCCGGCGTGCTCCCAGAGTTGTGCTGTCTGCATGGTCACCACATGCGGATGACATATATGAGAGTTCTGTGTAAAAGGACGGGTGGGGAATCTCCTGATAATGATGATTGTGATGGTGATGCTGATGGTGATCGCGATGTTGATGACGATAATTGTGATGGTACTGATGGTGATGCCGATTAGGAGAATTATGATGATGCTGATGATGATACTGATGATGATGATGCTGATGATGATGACGGT